ATAACGTATCTTCAAGTATCATTCATCGTTGCAATACATTTTCAGGATGCATTCGGGGAGACGCTATTAGCGCTGAAAACGTCAGTCTATCTTCGTCACTCACTGTACGTCGAACAAAGATAGAAGACGCTTTTAGCGCTGAGAGCGCGCTCCCCGAACGCACCTTCAGTAGGCAGTTAGCAACATAATCCGTTCAAATTTCCTATTTCCTAGTTACTTTTAGTGGTGGTACCACTGCTTACACAATTCGACGTGACGGCAAGAGAGAAACGAATTTAGAGAAAGAAAGAACACCAATTGAGCACACCATGTAATCCTTACACTATGGTCCCAATGTTCGATTTGACATCCTAGAGCCCGTAGTGCACCGAGAGATTCCGATATAGTGGCGAGAAAAGAGCTAAGTTCCGTTGCAGCTTTATTCTTAAGCGGTTTCAAATTGGTAAGTCTATCGATGTGTGCCGATATGAGAAGCCGCTTATTGTCATAACGCGAAACAAGAGTGTCCCAAGCGATAGCAAAATTAGCGCCGGAAATCGGTAGATTGACAACGAATTTCAATGCCTCGCCGCTAAGCGAGGTTTTCAAATAATGCATCTTTTCTACATCGGTTAAATCCGAGTTAATGAGTATCAAGGATGAGAATAAATCTTGAAAGGACCTCCACTCTAAGAGATCTCCCGAGAATCGAGGTAACTTTATCTTAGGAAGAGAACCAAGTCGTCGAGACACATTATTCGATGGACCGGTATCAAAAGATGCGGATCTAGCGGAAGGGAGAGATGTTACAGAAGGGAGGGAACCTTCCACCTCATCGCGACGCGCGAGCATTTTGGCCCGTGCATGGATGTAAAATTCCTGACATCGTTCGAACATTCGATTTTTTAAATATTCGTGGTCAAACAGCGAATCATTACTTGAACGACAGAGAGCTTCGTGCTCTTCTTGGAATTTATGCCAATTTTGATCGAGTAATTCTAAACGGGTGTTAATGAATTGAAGAGCAATTGGCGAAACTTCATCATCAAAATCAATATCCATCGCATTTTGAATGAGTTGAAAACGACTACTCTGTAAAAGAATTTTCATGCCGAAACTTGACATTGTGAGCGCAACGTATCCGGCTCGAAGGACCAAAAAATGTTGTATTGTCTTGCGCTCGTTTTATCGGCGGGAAATTATATATGTATTCTGGAACGTTGCGCTCGGATGTCGTGGCCAGATTTTCGAGATCTCGTACAAGTTTCGTTCTTCCGACTACAGTGACCTAAAAAGAAGAAAGGAAGGGCAGCAAAACATTGACAAAGATTAGCGTGGTTGTCAAGGCAACCTTAGCGATAGTCGCCGACAGATATTCATCTGTCGGGGAAACTCTAGTGTCAGCCTTGCGGCGAATCTATGTCGGCCATTTTGGAGGGAGCAAGCCTGTCCTTTGGCGAACGACGTCAGCCTTGCGGCGAATCTTGGTCTGCCCGAAGGCGAGACCAATGTCTGCCCGAAGGCGAGACAAAGTCAGCCCGAAGGCGAAGCAATGTCAGCCCGAAGGCGACGCCAATATCAGCCCGAAGGCGAAGCAATGTCAGCCCGAAGGCGACGCAAATGTCAGCCCGAAGGCGAAGCAATGTCAGCCCGAGGGCGACGCCAAAATCAACCCGAAGGCGATGTCAATATGCTTTTATGCGTAAATACAGATGGACCTGAATTTACCTGGTGATTTTATATATGCGGGAGTCTGATGGTATTGTAGGATCCACGGGTTTGCCCCTTCTCCTTGGATAGTTATAGTCGATCTCCTGCACGCTCTCCAACGTATGCCGTCCTCTCGGATTGCAGTCGTCCTCTGCCGGATTTTCGGCTCTTCGTTCCGATATCAATTCCGACCAAGAAGCAAAGGCACTCAACACTCTCTCCTCAAGCCGACACAACCGAGTCCTCACGACAAGAAAAAGACCTCAGCCTGATTCACTTTTGACTTGCACAACGAAATCGGAACCGACACTATTCAAGAAGTAACGGCACAATACAGAAAATCGATATCAATAAACAACCGGTAAATAACCGTTGCCAACGAAGAACTCGTCACCTAGCCAACCGATCCGAGAGCGCTGGCGCGAGAATTTAAATTAAACGATTTCCCCAACATGTAATAATAAATCAATTTTTTAGACATTTGTCTAAAAACATTAAAAATATTATCTATTGATTGGGCTATTAATCGGATTCGTTCTATCGAATATTTCTAATCGGAATTTTGTTAACGGATATCTTTAATTATTACATTACAAATTATTACATTACAAATTTAAAAAA